AGCCTTCTTTCACACTCAGCTGAACACGGACATCATCAGAGCTCATTGCCGGGTCGAATGGAAACGGTTTACATTCGTATTCCTTGTCCTGATAAACGTCTATCGACCCTTTGCCAGAATGCAACAAGGCTGACAAAAAAGAAACATCTTAGTGGTGTTCATTATGTCAGAGAGCTGGTGGTTGGCAGGCATTCGCTTTATAAATTGAAATCAAACTAGTACACTGAGAGACATGAAAGAGTTAAGAGTGACGAACCACGACTACGACGGCAACGAGAACGCCGCAAAACGCGCAGTCTGGGAAACGCGTACGACGAGGGCTAATTTTTCGTATTTCAAATTGGAATTGAACGGTGCCATTGCATATTTAGCCCGAGCTCGTTTCTAGAGCCATGGGTGAACTGAACAGATCCAGAGAACTGCGAAATTCGTAGTTAAAGATAATTAAACGGGCTTCCGGTTGCACGGAAAACTTAAAATGAAATTTTATTAAAAGTTTCAGCAATAAAAAACACTGCCATACGATATACACAATTCCGATTGATTCAGGATTTTCTAGTTGAAAATAGCGCCCGGAAAGTTCACGTGAAATCATTCTGCCGAATTTTTAATGCCGCGAAATTTAAGTTTATAGCGCTCAAAATCAATAACAAAATCAATAATAATTTACAGTGGAGCCCCGTTAATCCGGTCACCAACGGGTCACAAAAATACAAAAATCTAGCCGTACTAGCGGGTGGCCGCATTAAAGAGGTTCTTTCAATAAGAAAATGACTGACTAAGTTTTCGTTCGGGCCAGAATAAGGTGGCCGTATTAACTGGATGGCCGTAAGGTGGGGTTCCAATGTAATTGTTTTATTAGTTGTTTCTTTTTCACACAATATGTGGGGCCAACACCTACCTGATGTCTGTATCGAAGAGAAACCCAGGAAGATAGCACTCAAAACGAGCAAAAAATTCATCCGTGAGGAAAACTTTGAGAACACCATCACATCTTTCAACCACAGTAGGAAGGACTGAAAATTCAAAT